TGTGTGTAACTCAGGAACAAGTAAAAAGAGATAGTTGGAGATCTAATCATAGACCTTTCAGGATCTTTTTCTAGGTGACAGTAGATAGGGGGACGGGACGGGACGGGACGGGACACAGTTCAGACTGAGGCAGTAAGTGGGCCTTTAATCATTTGCCTGGCCTCAAATGGCATCCATTTGCTATTTGCCCTATGGGAAGAAACACAGGTTGCCTAGATTGTCTGAATATTTCACCAAGAAGACAATCAGTAACTCTGGAGTACCTCAGTCAGTAAAATGGCACTGGGAGGAAGGTTATATACCACTTTCCAAATCAGTTGCCCCTGACAAGTGTGTCTGCTATTTACATATAAAAGCTCCTTAGGTAATCCCAGAATTTCCATAAAAGATACAGGACTGTGACAATCCTACCTCTCTCAAACACAATATGGAACGGTATTATCTTACTTTGGAAAGGAGAATAGAGGGCTAGCTCCTAGGCAGACATAATCATGGAACAACCCCCAGCTGAACACTATGTCTCTGGGTGCAGCCATTTTTGAATATCCAATTGGGGGAAAAAATGTTGGTCCTATTTTCCCAAAGTGAGAAAGACCACTTAAACAGAAACAGATGAGTTGACAAGAACAAATGTAATTTAGTACTATTGTTATAATCAAAACCAACCCTGCATTTTTCTGTGCCTTTTCTTGCAATTACTACACTCTTTTTTATCGTCCAAACCATGGCCCTTTTAGAATCCTTATGCCTGTCTCTGTCTTTCTAAGAAGTTAATGCATTGCTGGTCCGTTATTCTCAGAAACAAGTGTATCTTTTACACCGACTGGAAACAGCAGAGATGACCAACTTATTGGCCCTGAAGTTCAGCTGTTGGTTAGAGAGAACAAGGACCCCAAAGACATACCCAATCAGAACATACAGTTTCAGAAGTCCAAATAAAGCCTGAAGGAGGATCCACTCTGTCATCATATCAGGGGAAATGGCAACACGTACAGACCATGTAGATCCTCAGACAGAACATTCTCCGTAGGACTTAGCGGCTCAGCTCTGGAGTGTTGTTAACCTGTGGAACTACTCTCTGCAGGCCACCCCTGCAAGGTAGGACACGACCTAAAAAACCCTAACCAATCTCCATTTCTGATGCTACAAATGCTCAGAACTGGACACACCGACCGTCTACCAAGACCTGTGCATTTCCTGAAATGTAACCAACAGGTATATGGGTGCACAATTCAGATCAGGGCAACTATATGAGGGGAAAGGGGGTAAGCCTCCCCCCCCATACCATTTACCCAACCTGAAATGGTCCTGGGGATCAGCTATTTGCCCCATTTGGGAATTTTCTGTGGGACCCAACAGATTCTTTAATAGAGTAGAGAAAAGGCATGTCCTTCTGAGCTTTGGCTGCCTTCATAATGTAAGTGGGAGAATGACATATTTGAAAAATATAGGCACGAACCATTAAACATTAAATATATAGAAAACTGCTATATCAGAAAGAAGGTTAGGCTAGACTCTTTCTTGATGAGATGTTTAGCTTTCTGTGTGCAGGGAAGTTTTTTAAAAGCACTGGGGAGCATTCAACCCCCCTCCCCCCGGCACTCCTCGGAGGATGAGAATATGTGAATTTTCAGTTACCTGGATCCTAAGAGCTAGAAATCAAATTGGAGTAGATGATATCGTACGAAGCTATTGAAGATAATGTGTTAATGGTCTTTTTCCTCATGATTCCTACCCCTTTAAAAAAAAGCAACTTAGTGGGAACTAAGTGGTATTATTGTAAAGGAAGAACTTTTGGAACATCTTGGTATATGTCAGTCTATACTCTTCCTGTCTATTAATACTGAGTGCTGTTTCCATAGGTTACCTGTTAGTGTGGAAAACAGTCAACACAATGACTGTACAGTTTAATTTTTAGCACTGGGAGCGGATAAAACAATGGCATGTGTGTGTGTGTGTGTGTTTAAATGGAACACCACACCCCTAGAGGAGGACCATCCATTGCAGGCTCTGCTCTTGAGTCCTGACACAATTGTTATGTTCTTGAAGGACAACTGCAAATGCAGCATGGTGCTGAAGAAGAAGATCTTGCAGAAGTGGAAATGCGAAACGGCAGCCTTCCTGACCCGAGAATGCAACTGAACAGTTGTTCACCGCAACCCTGAGTGCACAGTGAGACTTGGTGTCGCCAATGCTAGACCCGTGCAACTTCCAAGCCAAACGTAGCCCTCTGGGACTTGATAGTGGAGCCCAATGAACACCCCCACCCCCACTATCCCAGGCAGAACAGGGGAAAATGGGAGGCTTCCTGAGTCCCTGGAAATAGATTCAGGCAGCTGTGTTGGTCTGAAGCAACAGAACAAAGTTTGAGTCCAGTGGCACCTTCAAGACCATCAAAGTTTAATTCTGGGGATAAGCTTTCGTATACATGCACAGAACTGAAGAAGTGCGCATGCACATGAAAACCTATGCCCAGAATTATACTCTGTTGGTCTTAAAGGTGCCACTGGACTCCAACTGAGTTCCTGGAAGGCAGCTTTTAGCTTGGAGATGCTTGTAGTGGAAGTAATGCCTAGCATATGCCGGCTCAACATCCAACAACAGCCTCACTGCAGGCTCTCCGATGGTTCTCCAATAGCCTCTGAGATATGTGAATTCTGTAACACTGCCAAGATCAGAAAAAATTTTGATAGCCACCAAGGGAGCACTACCCACACAGCTTGATATCCCCCACAGGTTGGTTAAATATAAGTTTAGGATGAATAAAAATGACCATAGGTCAAGTGGTCACTCACCACAGGGTCCTGGCGAGGTGACATGACTGCTGTCGGTCATCATTGCTTGGATTATTCTGCCTCTGGATTTTACTGTACAGATGGCCACCTTGCCAGTTGGTGATTATTCTGCCTCTGGATTTTACTGTACTATTCAGACAGCAGAAGAATGATACAGAAGAGTACAGATGGCCACCTTGCCAGTTGGTTTCCACTGCCCATGTGAACATTTGTATTCATCCTTATTTTCTTTACTGAAGGCATGGGGGGGGGGGAAACCCTGCTGTTCAGGCCAGCTCTTCTCAGTTTTACACTCTCTTTGACCCTACAGATACGACCCTAACCTCAGTCCTCTCTTCCTCCTCTCTGGCCGTGTGTATTTTAATCACGACGTTTTCCAGATCAGAGAATGATGCGTCTGATCTATATTAAATGCTATGACCTCTTTAGTACTCTTTTAGCTTTCGTTAGATGACTATTTGAGGGAGGCAGCATGTAAGTGAGATCAGAACAGGGCCCTTAGAAGACATCTTCTGAACTGGGGGGATCTAGACCTGATACATTTTCCCTAGAGCATTTAAGAGCATAAAAAGAGAGAGAGAGAGAAAGGGGAGAATGGCATATGGGACAGACATTTCCAACTCCACTCGCTGCAACGTTCAGGAACCAGTCGTCCTCTCCAGCCTCAAGAGACGAAGACCCTGCGATGCGATATACGGAAACAAGCCCCCCCCCCCAACGCAACACAACAATAACACATGAAGCGACTGTGTAATATGGACAAAGAATGGGAGTGCAATGCTACTACAAAGATGCGATTTAAAAACAAACAAAAAAACCAGTGCCAAGGAGTCAGATGGCACCTCTCAACATAATCTCTGAAATGTTTCCTCTGAAACATAGACAAAGCGATAAAAAGAGGATATATGTTTATCATTTTAAGCATAACAATGTGAGTTAAGAGCTCAAGAATACAAAAAAAAAAAGTACTTGGAATGAACAGTGCTACCCTTTTTCTCCCTCCTAAGTAGACATAAAAATATTTTCATTTCCTTCTTCTGCTTCTTTCCCCCCCATATACCATTAATATCAACAAAGTCCATTCATTCCATGTTACCGTTTACAATTTTTAATGCACGCACGCACGCGCACTCACACACACACCCACACACACACAAAGAGAGAGAGATACCTACTGCAATAGAAAGTTGCTTCATTACCTTGTTTGCTACATTTGCAAATGTAAACAGAGCGAGGCTGAGCCAGCGCTGCATCTTACGCATGATGGAATATCTTTGTTGCATACGTACACTGTAGAAAATAATTATTCAATATGTCAGGCACCATTATTTGAAATGTAATACATTAATATTTACTAGAAAAATAAGTTCTTTTTTTTCCTATTTGTTCTCCCAACTTCTTAAATGAAATAAGTTAATCTGACAGTGCATCCAGTAGCTTGTAATATCTCTTGTACATCAACCTTCGTAAAAAATAAATCAAGAAACTACTGGCTGGGCCAAGAGAAACGGGGGGGAGGGGGGAGACATCAAAGTCCATTTTGTTGTTGATCCTTGTAGCATCTATTGGAGGCGTGGCTAACAGCACCTTGAACCGATGACTGAATATTTAGTTTTTTAGCCCTATTTCCCTGAGCAGTTATGCTGAGGAGCGGTCCCTTCATGAAATAGTTTTACAAAAGCTTTTTTAAAAAAGGATTAAAAATAAAAAATGGCTATGAAGGCATCTCCCATACTACCTAGCAAAAGCTGGCATGAAGCCTAGCAGAGGGATTGACCAATGCATATAAATAACCAAAGGCCTTTGGGGAGATCAGTCATGCACTCCCACTCGGAAGCAAAATTGCGAAAGAGCAGCTAATACAAAAAAAAAAATATTAATACTATGCAAATCAAGTCTGTAAAGTAGCTTCCCTATTCGAGACATCAGACGGAGTTCTTCTCTACAGAACAGCACTCCGCCAACTTATATTTTGGCCAAAGCATGTTACCCAGAATCCCCTGAGATATGGTTTGCAACCCCAGGACTTTTTTTGTGCTGAACTTTAGCACAATCTCCATTTAAGGGGCCCTCCCACATCCTTCTAAGCTTATGAGGCAGACTGGAAAGGTGAAGGTCTTCTCTGCACATATACAGTAATTTTTTTTTGAGACCTAACTCCTTTCACTTCTGTCTTTCCTGAGGTTTTTTTTTTTTTTAAGTTTTAAATTTCCCCCCCTCCACACTGGGAGGGGAGGGAAAAAACAGTACAGAGTGGCCTTTATAGACTTAAATGCTCTCATTGTCGTTCCTGGATCAGCAGAGTTTTAAATTGTTCAATCTATCGTTGCCCTAGACTTGCAAAGACGGAGGAGAACAGAGGTTGACCACAAGGTCAAGCGATCAAATAGGAGCTTAGCGCGAGGCACATCCGGAGAAAAATACTGCCTCCAGATGGTGGAAATGACAATGCCATGGCACATTCTAACAAGGCCAAAGTGAACCCAAATGAGGAAAAAAAAATACTACTAGATTTCTGGACATCAGTTTATTTAACAAGTCCATTTCGCTATACAGTATGCATATGTTACTGTACACCTGCGTCAGCATTACACATCTTTGCATTCTAGCCAGCTGCATTTCTTGCACAAGAACAAAAGCATTAGTTGTCTGGTTAAGTTTGTCAAAGATATTTGCCCTGATATAGTGTCTTCTGTATAGTTTTGGTGGGACGGGTCCCAAGTGATTATCCCTGCCCCCCCCTTCCAGCTGCCATCCGTTTAGCTTTTCCTTCTTAGTTACTTAACTTTTTCCATTTAAAGAAAGGAAAAGGGGGGGGAGAGAAGAGAATGGAGGATTGTATACTGGATAAGGCATGCTTGCTATATGAAGTGCTTAATAAGACATTACAAGCTATTGAATTCCCATCAAGGAAACCTATTTCTGTTTAATTGTGCTAAGTGCTAAGGTTTGTTTGTTTTACTCTTTAGGTTTGCCATTCGTTTCAGCTTGTGCATTGTTCCTATGTAGGCCCCTCTGGATGTGAGTTGTGAAGTCATACTTGTCCGTGCAAAAATATTGGCATATGCTGCACTGGAAAGGTCCGCCGTCACCATGGCAACTCATATGCAAGGCATACATCACTTCATCCAGAAAGACAATGCCACAGTGCACACACTTGGTTGACAGTTCGTCTTGAGTACTTCGGTCAACTTTTTCCGTTTTCACTACATTCAAGGGACCTTCATTTTTTACATTTGGGGGTGCCTTAGCTTTCTCCTTGGAGGCACCGTTTGCAGTTGGCCCAGGTCTGGAATGTTTTATCGCCAAATCGAGAGGAATGTCATTGTCGGATCCGACAGCTGAAAAATGAGGAGGCAGATTAAAGGTGGGGTAAGGCACATAGTTTTGGCAAGGATTTGGTAGGCCAGGCACATGACTCAAGTAGTGTGGGTTCCCAGGAACGGACAGCTTATATTTACTCCAGAATCTCAGCCAGTCAGCTTCACTTTGAAAGTCATTGTGTACAAGTGGAAGCCCAAAGAGCGGGTACTGGTACTTTTCAATGGGGCTTCCGGGTGGCGAATAGTTCGGGTGCTTTGCGGGTCTCATGTATTTCTCTATTGGACTGCCTCTCTCTGAGCTTCCTTTTCCTTCTGATACGGAGGAACTATTGCCTGGGTCTCCGGTACTTTCCTGAGGACTTTTTATCTGAATGTGCAAAGGTTGCATCCTTTTGTGAATATCCAGAGCAGTTTGGCTGACCAAGATTGACTGCGGAGAAGAATGGCTTTTAGTCAATGAACCCGGGGCTTCATATTTACTCAGGCTGGGAAGCTGGATTTCTCTCGGGTGACCTTCCGTCAAATGATCCTCTGACCTCCTATCTAGCGGACTGCCATTGACTTGTTCCTCGCTGCTCCCCCTCTGCTGTTTGTTTAGCTGTTCAGCCTGAAGGGCCTCTGGGTTAAGGCGCTTTCTCGTCCGTCTCCTAATGATCTGCTCACCGTTGTTCTGCTTAATGATGTTTAAAGGCCTGGGAGTCTGCATATAAAACACAAAAACATCATCATCAGTGAAGGAGCACCTTTACCCAAAGCTTTGCGGAACTGCCTGTGCAAATCCCCAAGTTATAGTTTGGAGCCGTTTCGGTGGACATTCATACAGAATGGCCTCCTTGGGTCAAGCCTAGCAATGCAAGTGAAATTCTTAATTTTAAGTAATTAAAAAGACACACACCAAGCAATCTCTCTTTGAATTGCTTTAATCTGTATCAGAGCACTAGACTGAACACCCTTATCCTAATAACCTTGAAAATTACCAAATGCCTTCAAGGATGGCTTGAGCACACAAAATTCCACATTATTTCAGTGGTGACCAAGGACCCTCAGAACCACAAGCCCAAATTCTTTTGGTACTAAATTAGCACACAGGGCTTTGATGACTGCAGTGCTTATTCCCAGTTAACCCACAACCTATTTTCTGTGCGGTACTGAGATGTTTAATGACTAAAGCACATTGCATAGCACTGCATAAAACAAAGTGCTCAGTCATACGGACTTTAGACCTGCCTTGCTGGTTCCAGCATTTTGTCTAGTTCTTTCTTTCCATTGGTTGCTAGGTATGTGCCCTTGGGAAAGCGATAAGCCAGCCACGGCAAACACAGCCATCTCAAGTTGGCTATCCCAAGATCTGATCTTCTGAATCTGGAAGGTTCCATTTCTCTTATCACAACTCAAAGCAGGCCAATCCCATTCAAAAGCTACCTGTGCTACCTAGGCCATTACTGCATCTTGTGACAACGAATCCAGCCCCACTTAGTAGAGTGATGCCAACATCCAGGCCAGGAGCTGGTCCTCTGGCTATGTGCGCTATGCATTTGTGCCACATTGACAGGAGTAGGGCCACCTGCAGTACCTTTATATGTCTTGTAGGCACAACAGAGAATTGCATTCATAGCATGTAATGACATGTAATGACAAAGTGAGTCATAAGGACCACATCACTGCAGTCTTGTACCAGCTACACTGGCTTCTAATTCACTTCTGGACACAATTCAAGGTGCCAGTAAAAAAGGTAAAGGTAAAGGTTCCCTTGCTTGAAAGCCAGTTGCCAGTATTGATCTGCAAAGCCCTACAAGGCTCAGAGCCAGCCTATCTCAATGAGAACTTAGTCCCATAGGAACCCACCTGACCATTACAGACATGTTTGGTGATGGTCAGGGCTTTTTTTGTGGGGGAATGGGCTGGAACAGAGTTCCAGAACATCTTTGACAAAATCCTTTTAAAATGTTTAAAAGTTCATGAGTCATGCAGTATACAGATTGAAAACGTCATTTCCCTCGAGAGTTCTGGCACCTCTTCAAAAAAAAAAAGCTCTGGTGGCAGTCCTACTTTGGGTGCCTCTGTTATCTGAAGCTAGATGGGGTGGCAACCTGAGAAAGGGTCTTCTCGGTTCTGGCTGGTGAAATTCCTTCCCCAGGGAGATTCCTCTGTCCCCCTCTATCATTATCTTCTGCCATTTTGTTCCATTTGATGTTTCCCTACTGACTTTCTTTCCAGTTTATGTTTTTAATTATTGTATGTATGTATGTATGTATGTATGTATGTATGTATGTATGTACTATTTTTGAAGTTGGTTTTTAATATTTTCAACTGTTTGCTAACTTAAAAGAACTAACTGAGTAGAAAAGGGGGGTAAAATGTTTTAAGGAGAAGAATTGTCTGTTATGGCTGTATAAAATTAAGCAGAAAGCAATGCAATATAAACTATTAATAATATTCAGTAATAACTGAGGGTTAAGGTGGTCTCATGCATTGTCCTATGGATACTTCTGTGCTACCTATTCTTTTTGTGATGTGGCAGTAATGACTGTGTTGAATATGCTGATCAATGAATATTTTAAGAGAACATTAGAAAATGGTAAGTTTCTAGTCTTACTGTTTGTAAAATACAATTTTAAAATGATGATAAAAAGATCAAGAATACAACAGCTATCACGTTTATGGAAGTTATGGGCAATCTATTCTTTACCTAAAAATACAAATACCTAAAAATACAAATTAGTTACAGTCTTTAAATTTACACCAAATTGGCCATCAGTCCTTCTATGGAAACAATAATAGAATGTTGTTGGAACTTTGCTTTCTGTTTTCAGAGGGGTTTTTTTTGGGAAAAAATGATTTATGCATATTAGCAACTTGAAATTAACGTTAAACGAGCCAGCAAAGTCCACCTGGCTATAATCTCTTTTATGAATCTATTGATTCACTTGACCTGGCTTCTTCACCTCCCCCTTTCTGCTTTTTTCTTTCCCTAGAGTCGAATCACCCGTGCCATTAATTGCCACTTAGCTTGTTAAGCTCTAACTTTCTATTAAAAATCTAAATCACAGGAAATATTCCCTGTGATTTAGATCTTTAATAAGAAGTCGAGACTTCTACCTCAGTGCACTTGAAACGGCAGCAAGGGCCAGGGTAGGGCAGCAGAGGAAGGGTCGGACTAGGATCTGAAGAGTCTGGATCCAAATCCCTACTCTGCCATGGAGCTCACTGGGTGACCTTGGGCCAATCACATGCTCTCAGCCGAACCGTCATCATAAGGCTGTTGTAAAGATAAAATAGGGAAGGGAAAACCATGACCTCCTTGGAAGAAAGGTTTATGACAATGATATTTGGGACCACTGTACCAGAAACTAGGTTGAATGCTGCGGGCTTTTTCACCACAAATATTTTAAACTTAAAAAAAAAAAATAATTCCAGAGCTACATTAAGCAGCATTTTGCAGGATCAGCTGCCAACATTTTTGTACTCTTTAAAAACTTCTTTAGTACAAGAAATGCCACTCCTCTCATTGGGTCTGCTTGCCTCTGTCATGTATTTAAAAGGTAAGGCGGTGGAAAGTACCTACATACTTGATAGGGTGCACGAGCAATGAACGGCGGTTGAAAGTGCCGTCAAATCGCAACTGACTTATGGCGACCCTGTAGGGTTTTTGAGGCAAGAGACGTTTAGAGGTGGTTTGCCATTTCCTGCCTCTGCATCACAACCCTGGTATTCCTTGGAGGTCCCCCATCCAAATACCAGCCAGGGCTGACCCTGCTTAGCTTCTGAGATCTGATGAGATCAGGCTAGCCTGGGCGATCCAAGTCAGGGCAAGCCATGAATAAGGGAGTGTGCACAGTCAAATGAGATTTGGCTTTTCACTCTTATTTTGGGGGAAGGTAAGTCAGTGATACTTTTAAGATTACTTCTAATCAGAGGAAAAGCAAAATATCAGCTCCCTGGATCATTGGTGTTTTTGATGCCCACTAATAATGGAGCTGCGGTGGCTCAAGTGATTAAGACGCTGAACTGCAGGCTGTGGAAGGTCAGTAGTTCAGCAGTTCGAGACCCGAGTTGCCACATGGCGGAGTGAGCTCCCGTCTCTAGTTCCAGCTCCTGCCAACCTAGCAGTTCGAAAGCAAGAAATTGCAAGTAGATAAATAGGTACCACTTCGGTGGGAAGGTAACAGCGTTCCGTGTGCCTTGGTGTTTAGTCATGCCGGCCATATGACCACGGAAACGTCTTCGGACAGCGCGGGCTCTTCGGCTTTGAAACGGAGATGAGCACTGCAACCCTAGAGTCGGACTCGACTGGCTTTCGAGCAAGGGAACCTTTACCTTTAATGTCTTCAATCACAGTCAAAAAGTACTCAGATACTATGGCATGCTCATGCCATGCATTTATTTATCCATTTGATGGTGACAGAGTTTGAACGAACTTGCACTTTGTTTCTAAGGCTGCTCTGTCAGATTCCATCGCCATGAACAATTATTTATGAGTGACAGATTCTGGATCAGAATCCTTATTGGTCGGCCAGGAAAAAAGAAAACCCCTCCATTTTTCAAAATGTTGATATGTTCACATGATTTTTATTGAATTACTCTATATGTTATTTTGAATGCTCTTTTAATGTTCAAATGTTTTCATGTTCTCTGCCTTGGGGGACCCTAGTTGTGTGGAAAGGCAGCATAAACATATTTAAAGCAGAAATATAAAGCAAGCACCCACATCGGATGTCACACCAACATGTGGTTAGACTGAAGACTTCATAATTCGGGAAGTTTTCACTATCTGCTGAGCATGTGAAGGAAAGGGTCACATGATCAGCCCGTGGACTTCAGGCTCCCACATACTGAATTGGACCATCAGTCCATCAAGGTCAGCACTGTCTACTCAGATTGGCAGCCAGGGACTCAGGCAAAGGTCTTTTATATCAACTGCTTCCTGGTCCTTTTAACTGGAGGGGCCAGGAATTTGAACCTTGTGCATGCAAAGCAGAGGAAGCTCTTCCACTGAGCCACGGCCCCTCTCCAACATTGTCCCCGTGGCCTACACCAGCACAAGCGAACAAAAGTCTGTTTGGGACAAATGAAATCAGCCTACACGTGAACAGTGTGTGTATCTGCTGTAGCATACGCTTCTTTACTGGCATAATAAGCATCGTGGAGCCAAAATTTCCCTGCGTTTGCATATCTGTGTCAAAAACAATGGCAACAACAAAAAAAATGAACACAAAACAAAACTCCTACATTTTGCCTCTCTGTTTTCAGTTGTCACTGCCTAGCTGGGTAAAGGTTTAATTACACCAGTGGCCTTTGATTGGGCAGAGCTAAATTAAACTCATTAACGTCAGCTTACATCAAATGACATCTCATTGCTATGCTCCAATATTGCAGCTAAAAATGGCGTTATCTTAGCTCTGTGCTAATGAAATAAAGGTTTTACAACTTATTACCAATTAGCAGTGTTGCCAGCATCCATTTATAAAGATTGCTTCCTATGTTTTATGAGGGTTTTTTTTAATCTCAAAAAAAGAAAATTATTTTTGCAGCTATAATATATTCACTATCTTGTAGCAATGGGGTAAAAACTACCAAAGCATAAAATTACATGAAATTAAAAGCATGTTTTTTTAAAAAATGATAGTCTTGCATAAGAAGCAGAAATCTGCCTTTAAACTACGGCCAATCTATTGCACATACAACCCTTTGTCAACAAGAAAATTCCATGGAAGCTGATAGTTTGGAATCCGGGTCCAAACCAGATATCTGGGGCACTGCTATCTGGATTGGCCTCTCTTCAGTAATGTGTAGCTGAAAGATGACATGTAATGGAAGATCAACACGTTCAGTTTCCTTGTCTCTTTTCATTGGCTGCTGCTTAGGAAGTATAGAGAACTCAGACAGCAGAGTTATCATGCCATGCAACTTTTTAAATTATATGTTAGTGGGAACAGGTGGGTTGAAGGTGCAGCTCAGCAGTAGCTACACATCCTGATACCTTCAGGTGGGCAGCTGTGTTAGTTTGACTCCAGTGCAGGGGTCATTTTGTAGAAAAAGAGCTAGGGGAACTCATTAGCATAACTCATTAGCATATGCCACACCCCCTGACATCACCGGAAGTGTGTCATAAGGCCACAAACCCCGCCCCCAACGTTCCCGGCTGCCGCTGGCGGCCTTGCAGCTCCACTGCCGAGCCCCATGAGGCAGGCAGGGGTGGGGAGAGGCAGGGAGGAAGCAACTTACCCTCCCTCTTCTCCTGCCTCCTCCTGGCTGAATGAGGGCCGGAAGCGGGGCGGCCGGAAGCGGGGGGCGGGGCTTCGTCATGTGCCCCGCCCCCCGTACCTCACCCGGGGGAACTGCGATCCCCCGTGATCCCCCCCGAAATGACCTCTGCTCCAGGGGCACCGTTAAGACCAACAAAGTTTGATTCTGGGTATAAGCTTTCGTGTGCGTGCACACTTCTGTGCATGCGCATGAAAGCTTATACCCAGAATTAAACTTTGTTGGTCTTAAAGGTGTTGCTGGACTCATACTTTATCCCAGTACCTTGTTTGGGCTCAGAAAATCTTTCATGAGGATCTTGAAGTAGCAGGTCATAGCAGAAAGCTGTTCAGTAACGGACCTTCTCAGTCAGCATGGAATAGTGGTTTAAAGTGTTGGACTAAGATCTGGAAGACCCAGGTTCAAGCCTCCACTATGCCATGGAAACCTGCTGGGTGACCTTGGAACAATCAGCCTAACTTACCCTCACTGGGCTGCTGTTGTTGTTGTGAGGATAAAACGAAGGAGAGGAGAACAATGCTGTGGGGTATGAACATCCAAATAAATAAATCACTATAGCACTAAGTTTTCATGTCCAATGTGCTGACTTCAAGGCTCAACTGCCACACACCAGTACAGTCGTGTGCATGTTGATGGTGCAAGCAAAACACCAAAAAGATGGGTGCACTACTTGCTGTTGTGCGACAAGCTTGCAGTTCTGACGGAATGGATTGGAAGCATCAACTATTGCAATATCCTGTATCTGAGGTAAGAGATGGCAAGCCTAACTTGCATAGGTGAACGCGATGTCACACATTAAACACAATTAGGCTTTGTTGGTTAAAATTATCATTTTAATTCCGTACCGGGAAGTCAGGAAGGGCACGATTATCATTTTTATTAAATATTTGGGTTACTGATACCATATTGGAAAGCTATCTCAAGAAAAAAAATCCATTTTAATTAATATCAGAAAAAATATCAACATTCCCCAAACTGAGTGAAAATGATAATGATGCCCCTTCCAAAATGAAATCAAAACATAATTTTTAAAAAAGTGCCTCCAGGCACTGAGAGCTGTAAGAGAGAGGAAGGATGTACATTTTGGGGGCACATCAGCCCTTTAAAGGACCACTGTTTTAATGACCCAGGTCTACCCCCCCCCATTGAAACAGTGGTCCTTTAAAGTTCAAAGTGTTAATGCACCACATACAGAGTAACAGAAAGGCCTCCTGACCCAATTCCAGATATTTCCTGTATTTAGTGGGAGTGAAATACTGGAATCGGGAAATATCGGGAGTGCCTTTTGCAGTACAGGATATTGCTGATCCAATCTGATACCGGAAATATCAGACATTTTGTTGGGTTGGTAATATATGCACACACACCTCTAATCACAATGCTCAAAAACTTTCACATCACCAGACGGCAAAACAAACACAATGGTCTTCCAAGGAGATTGTTCGCACATTCTGAGACAACTCATAATGTATTGACTAACCAACAGATGAAATCCAATCATATAATATGTGCATGTGTAAACTGATCCTATACAAGTGAACTATTCCAGATTTGATCTTTGGGGGGTTGGCAACTTGTTAGGGGGTTGAGTGGGATTGCTCCCTGCAGGAGATACTACCAAATGGTCAGAAATAGTCTTTTAGCCACATATAATTGTGGGTTTTGGGGTTTTTTTTACAATTACTGATAATAAAAATACTGATTTATAAAAGTACTTATAAATAATGCCAACTGAAGCATATCTATCTAAAGAAGTAGCAACTTTTCCTGTACTCTTCATTTTGTAAGAAACTAATGTTCCTGTTCGTCATGAAAATGAGGGTTTCCTTTCAATTTTGTGAACTTCTGTTATGTTTCTGTGAAGAGGCTGGGGAGGGGGGAATAGTCCCCATTTCATGCTTTATTTTGTATCAAAATAATTAATGCCTCATTGGTAATCTCCAACATAAGTCTCCTCTCTACGGTGTATCAGCATCTTCCATAATGAATCACATCTGATCCCAGAGTGACCGCAGCGAAAACGCAGTTAGGAAATTAGCCGCAGCTGCCCAGCTTCAGCCGAGCTGCCTGAAACCTTTCCTGTATAAAAATGAGTAAGTTCTTCCTACCGAGTGAAGCTTCTGGTAGAGACCACACGCGTTGCATACGTATCCTCCATTTGCATTCTTTCGCCAGAGAGAGGTCTTTGTGGTCAGGCAATTGGCACAAAAAACACCCGAGCCTCTACGTCTCTGAAACAGGGGGAGGGGGAAACAGAAGGTCAAAGGTTAGTCACATGATCTGTAGAGTTAGGACAAATCAACACAGGAGTTTTGTCTGTAGGCTGGCAACAATTGATAGTATAAAACCACACTACCCATAATGAGGTCAAGTTCAATTGTACTTAATAGGCACTGCTGATTTTCATTACAATTTACCCTACATTGATGGATGAGGTGCGCAAAAATGCCACGGCTTCTCTCCCCCCCCCCCACAGTAACACTTCTAACTTTTTGAACTTCAGGGTTTGTGCCTTTAACAACTGGGTTCCAAACTCTGAATTTCAGTGTTCTATTTTGATGGAGGGGCGAGAAAGGACTCCTGCTGATCTTGCCAGTTCCCCGAAGCGAGTTTTTATTACTTTTATTTGAAACGTGTGATGTTTAACAACAAGAAATTTTTTTACATCTGATTCATTTCTATTTCTCTACTGCCCCTCTTCAGTTCTGGGAAGAAACTCTACATGTCCCAACGATACACAAGCACCAAATCAGAGCTTTTAGAACTTAATTCTAAAATTTACCTATACAACCATCTATTTTCTACTATCCACTGAGACTGCAGGGACTAATCAAATGGTTGATCAAGAGTGCATGAGGGCACTTCTGTACTTCTGCTGTTAGGCAATGCTGCCTCACTGATGGGGTGATTTTAATTTTGTCAAGCAGAGAAATGTACCAGCATAGCTCTTCCAAATGCAAAAGCTCTCTTCACTAGAGCTACTGACTGAAACCTACAGCTTTACTGTTTAGAAGTGGGTGTTACTGAAGAGAGGTGCTCATTAAATTCCGTCTGTGGCATAACAATATCATTAAACTTTTCATGTCAACAGGAACATCACAAAAACAGGCAGCATTTGAGAGCACAATTGCTAAAACATACAATGAAATGCCTGTCTTGTTCTAGGCTTCCCCCCCCCCCGAAAAAAATTAATCATTTCAACATTGGTTTCTTTATTTTTTAAAAAATACATGTTTAATAAAAGTCCTCCATATTGCACAAGTTTAGAGAGAACAGTTTCAGTAAAAGATTAAACTGATTTTGTTCTAAATTAAAAAATTACTGGTCCTGTAAATCAAAATTTCAAGGTGTCGTCAAATTTAAGTAATTTATTTAACTTTACTCCATACTGCAGGGAAAAGGGGGGGGGTATCAGTGCCAAGAAAGTACAATGGTTATAATTGTACTCTGATACATTTCAAATGGAAAGCTTTTTGCAGACATAATTTTGGCTTGGAGTGTGGAACACTTTCTTGGCATTGAAAGGGCATTTGATTCATCGGGTGTTTCACAATGTATCACTAAAAAGACCTGGTGATCAGCCAGTTCCCTATAGGGTAATTTTTCCATCCAGATGCAAGTGCTATCAGAGGCCCTCGTCAGCTAAACTAATTATGATCTTGCATTTGCTGATGCCTGCTCACTCTTAACGTTCGACATCCCCCATTAATCATCGATACGAGGAAAATGAATGAAATGTAGAGAAAACGAGGGCTGGTAACCTACACGGTCATAAAAATCTAAAATGAGTGCAATAATTTAACAAGATCGGGGAAATGTTTTTCAGTGAGCACAAAGTCAGACTAACAATTGCCCTTTTAAACCAAGAACACAATTTCATTAGTGTAGCAGGTTGTGTCACTTTAAGTCGAGCTAATAAAACCAACTGCATTGCCAGGATAATCTCTTGTCCAACCTCCCCCCCCCCAGTATCACTAAACCAGAGTCATAATTACACCATATTTTATGACCTAAAACTTAATACCAAAGGACCGTCTTCATGCAGTAGCCCCCTGACAATCTTTAGATACATTCCTTTAGTATGTTCCTTATTTTATTTTTAGGAATCTCTCTCTCTCTCTGGTACTATCAAAACCCTGGAGGTAGCTTAAAATCATTCACCATAATAAAATTAGACACAGTGGACTCTAACCCACAGCCTTTAGGTTTGCCAGGTTCACCCCGGACATGGGCGAGGGATGGGAGGGGTAGGGTTGCCAGATCCAGGGTGGGAAACTCCTGGAGATTTGGGAGTGGAGCCTGGGGAGGACAGGGACCTCAAAGGGGTACAATGCCACAGAGCCCATCCTTCAAAGTATCCATTTTCTCCAAGGGAACTGATCTTTGTCATCTGGAGATGAGCTCTAATTCTGGGGGATCCCCAGGTCCCACCTGGAGGCTGGCATCCCTATTACATAACAAGGTATTAAAATACATTCGAGTAACTAACTTTTTAAAAAGTCTAAGCTAACTTCTCCTTGTGAGATCCCAACTGATAGCCACAACTCGTTCCTTTAGAGATCAATAAACTTTTCATTAAGTAAATTCATCGTTGAGCATGCAGAGTTAGATTAAATGGAAACTATTCTACATTCCTGCCATTTGGATTTGATTGAAAAATATCCTCCGCTTTCCAAATTTTCGTGGAGCTGATGACTACTTGCAGTGGCATGTTGAACAGGGTGTAGTTTTAGCATGAGTCTTCCATGCTTGCAAAAAGCGTTGTATATGGTGGTTATTTGAAGGCCACAGAATCATATTGAACAAGTGATCTGTACCGTAAAATAGCAATGTATATAATGATAATGAGAAGGTCTGTCGGTCTCTGGCAAAGATATTTCTCTGACTGAGAACTTGGAGAGCCAGCGCCAGACCGAGTAGATAATCCTGAGGAACAGAGACCAATGGTCTGACTTGGCAAAAGGTAGCTTCATACATTCATATGACAATACACTCAATGAAAAAAGCCAATTTATTTATTCATTTTCTGTCATTATCCCATGGGGGGAGGTCAAAAGGAGGAGGAGGAGAAGAAGAGATTGGATTCATACCCCGCCCTTCACTTGGCGCCTCAGAGTGGTTTACAAACTCCTTTCCCTTCTCCTCCTCACAACAGACACCTTGTGAGGTAGGTGGGGCTGAGAGAGCTCTGACAGAAACTGCTCTTTCAAGAACAGCTCTGACAGAACTATGGCTTGCCCAAGGTCATCCAGCAGCTGCAAGTGGAGGAGTGGGGAATCAAACTCAGTTCTCCCAGATTAGAGTCCTCACATTTAACCACTACACCAAACTGGCTCTGCAGAGATGGCACTGCAGCGGGAGGACCAGACATGATGGAAACCGTTGCTGTCCTCAACCATAGGCCTGGCAGAACATTTCTGTCTTACTGGCCTTGCAGAACTGTAGCATGTCCAGCAGAGAACAGTTGTCATTTGGCAGAGAGTTCCACCAGGCTAGCACCAGGGCCAAAAAGGCCCTGGCTCTAGTTGAGGACAGCCGGATATCTTTTGGGCCTAACTGGAATATTAACTTACTCACAGTCCATATTGAAGCTCCTTTCAGCCCTAACACAACTGGTTTGACTACAGAGCATACCAACATTTAAAAGAGGGACAACACACAACCCCATTAGATATATTTAGGCCCCTGCCACACGGCAGGGAAAACACGAGGCGAAGTGCGGCTAAAGAGAGCCACATCAAAAAAGATATGCGCGGGCGGGATCCCACGGATCCTGTGCACCGCGCGCCGTTGCTCCCCGGCACGATCACATGCCGGGGAGGGAGAGTTGGAGGCAAGGGGGAGGCCGCCGCAAGGACGCGCGGCCGATCCCACGGCCGGTTTGAGCCGCTCTACTTCGCAAGAACCACCCAGGTAGGTGGTTCTTTTTAATGCGGGTTTACGCGCGGAAGAGACAGATTGGGGACGGACAGGCAACGATTCCCAGATATTGCCGTGGGATCGCGCCCGTTTGATCCGCCCCCGTTCTGTTTAGCTCCCGGACCAAAACCCCTCGTATGAACGGGGCCTTAGTCAGTTAGGGCTGATACATGATTAGGTAAAGGTAAAGGTTCCCTTGCTCAAAAGCCAGTCGAATCCGACTCTAGGGTTGCGGTGCTCATCTCCGTTTCAAAGCCGAAGAGCCAGCGCTGTCCGAAAATGTTCCCGTGGTCATGTGGCCGGCATGACTAAACACCAAGGTGCACGGAACGCTGTTACCTTCCCACCGAAGCGGTACCTATTTATCTACTTGCAATTTCTTGCTTTCGATTGGTTGGCAGGAGATGCATGATTACCTTTAAGCTAAAGTGGGTTGCAGAGACCTAGGCAGAACTGAGCCGGATGGAAATATACTAGATGAAGAATTTTAGTAATGACTGCTGAGAGGTTGAATTAAGCTTATTTCCACCCAGCTGATAAATTAAGTTCTTATTTGGATCCCAGATCAAAGGTTCTGTGACTTCTTTTGCCTAAACCTGCCTGCAAAATTCATTCATAGCTAACATCTGCTGCACCCTGCATTTTAAGTTACAACTGTATCAAGATTACACCTACAACTGGATGCAATCTTATTCGACTATCTGAAAGAGTATGCTTAAAATATTCAGACAAGGAAGGTATTGTGAAACTTTTGATGGGGGAAAAATTCTGAAGATTCACCCAAATTTTTCATAGAGGATGGATACTAGCACAGCTGATATGGATAAACAAAAGAAACCAAATCTCCATTAGAATCAAGGCTATGTAGATGCTATTGATCAATTTTTAGAATCCACAAACTGGCCAGCAAAATAGTTTAGGAAATCTCTTGCATTTTAGACTGCATGTCTGAGCTATCTCTGTCAAATCTTAAATAAAATCAGTGTGTGTGTATATATATATCGTGTATATATATATATCGTAGCCTCTTTGGAAACAGTACTATGATACTCTGACTCTTGATAGTCAATGGATTGGTACTTAGTACCTATCTTTGAAAGGAAAAAATAATGAGTCATTCCTTTTTTTCTAACTATAGTAGTAGCACAACAACTTGCTAGATGTCTACAACCACTGACCACGGGGAGACGAAAAAAAGTTTCCTATTTGTTAATGAATTTGTTTATTTTTTATTTTTTACCAGTGGTTCTGATTTTCTGCATTTTGCTTTTGCAGGTTCATTTGCATTTTGATTCATTTGCATTATATGTGATTTGTATTTGCATGTTCAAGATACATCATTTATACATACAACAATGCTCCCTCTAATTCTACTTTGTGAGCTACTGGCATTAACGTTAAGAGCAAGTGCTTTGGCTACTGCATAAATTAGTTTGCTCTGGAGCCATCCTTCCTGAGCTAAGACAAAAATTGTGTGAACCAGAGGCTAAAAAACTGTGAGCTAGCTCACACTAACTCAGCTTAGAGGGAACACTGCATACAATATACATATAAGATGTAAAGGAGATTTTTTTTTTTGACATGCAAATAATGTTGAAAAATGTGTACAATTTAAGAGAAAAATCTGGTACAATGAATACCGAATCAGGGATATGATATGCACAGGGAACAAGAGGTCCTGAAATGGGTATTTTCAGGTTGAGACCGCAGGGATCAGAAATGTGAGACCATTCCTAGTGGCTGCCTGGCAAAATCCCACTTATAAGCTCTGAGGAAGCTCAGCTTAATATCATTCTTCCTACTTACAACCAGTAAACGACAGCACCCCAGTCTAATTCATTGGACTTCGTGCTTGTTCAGTTTCTTTCAATCATGTTCCTTTCGAGCCCTTACAAATTTTTCAAGCAGCACCTCTGTAACACGGCTGCTCTAAAGAACAGTTGCGTCACAGATGAAGGGACCTGGATTCCCATCAATGCCACTTGCTACTAATTGGAGTTATCCATGTAAATTTCCTGTGCGTGCTTGGGAAAATAAGCCCAAAGGGTCTATAATTGAAACTATGTTTCTGCTAAGTCAATCTTTAATTATGTGAATCCTTATAGCCGGTACATTATAATAACACTGCCTGAAGGGACCACTACAGTTAAGAGTTTGTCAGTATTTCCATTTGCGCTCCTTGGTTGGGGTGTTTAATATATCAGTTGTCTCAAATCACACTGGGCTGAAATTTGGCAAACAAATTGGTCAGCACAGATGTGAAGTTTCTTTTTCTCTTTTTTTAAAAAATTAAAACTTTATTGAAATCAGTTCAGCTGTTTATAATTTGGAGGAAGGCCAAAAAAAAAGGGGGGGATCTCGGTTTGTGAATAATGCCCCTTTCCCTCATCTCCAAACGTGGACTATAGCAGCTTAGTTGCCAGGGAAATATTAAATGTATATTAACAATAAAGGTTACTGATACATAAATTTAAACAGGAGGAGAAAGCTTAGAGACTTAAAAGTCAGCATAGAGTCACCGAGCATGTGCTACAGAGTGCTCCCAATCTCGAACAGTGTTCTGTCGATAAGCAGCATAATGAAAACATGAAATTGTATAATCACCCCTGATATGCCAAGGATTCATTCACAATTTTATGGTTTTCATATCCTTGGCATTTCAAATCAAATCAGCATGACTCTTAGTTTTCATGTTTTTAAGCCCAAACAACCCTCTTTACAAACCCTCCCCTTTTTAAGATTCCACTCCTGTATTTAAAACAGAAATTCCCAATAACAGCATCAAATAATAAGC